GCAAGAATGCAGGAGCAGATCTTCACCCAAATGAACTAATCGTCTCCTGCGAACCCCACTCCCCTTTCGCTCCTCTTTTATTCCTTCTGGGAGGGGCCATTCACCGTCCACCTGAGCCTTTACTTCTTTAACTGTTCCCTTCTCCTGGCAGCTCTGTGCATGCGCACACTGGAAACAGGCTCCAGCTGTTCTTCTTCCCCACTGATCTCTGACTCCGAAGGCAGCTGATAACTGTCGGATGGCCCTGTCCCATCTCTGTCTCGTGTTCCTTAGTTGTTTCCTTCTCCTGGCAGCTCTGTGCATGTGCACACTGGGAACAGGCTCCAGCTGTTCTTCTTCCCCACTGATCTCCGACTCCGAAGGCAGCTGATAACTGTCGGACAGCCCTGGCCCCATCTCTGCCTCATTCATCCGAGCCTTCCCCAGACTCTGGGACTGGCCCAGGTTCCTCCCCAACCTCCTCATGGTCCGATTCTGCCTCCAACTCCATTGGCCGCTGGCGGGCTACATCTATTCCTACCAGGCTGATCACCATTCCCCAGTTCTCTGCACTCTCTGTGGGAAAAAAAAATTAATTCAGGGATGGTTGGAGAGCAACCATTCCAGTTGGGCAGAAGGTTCAAGCAAGGACATAGCCTGGACTCATTACGTAAGCACAAAGAGGGCAAAGGTTGACCCTCCCAAATACTTTTGAGCCTTATCTGATCTTTTCCAGGTGAAAGCCGGCTGGCCTGGGGAAGATTCCTGTCTTATAGGCAGTAATCAATAAAGTAGCTGGTGTCAGGGTTCCAAGTAACACATCTGTTCTAACCAAGGCTTCCCGAAACCGTAATTAAGCACAAGCTTAGTTAAAACAACTCTTGTTTTTCTTCAATGCTGGGAATTATTTTCATTCCCAGCTGGTAATGAGTCCCAAACAGTCCCTCGAGATAAGCACCCACCTTTCTCTCCTTTGAATGGCTGCCAACAACTCAAGTGCCAAATGAACTGTAAACAACCAACCGAAGCACAAAGTCCACACAGAGCTTCAAGGTTTAATCCTAAATGATTGACTGACCTTGCTTCCTGCAAAGATTTCATCATCTTGGCCTGACTTTTATCCCTTATGGGAGGGGCAATCACCTCCCAGCCTTACTCCCGAGTCGCCCCTTTTGTTTCAGCTGCTCTCGCCTTCCAGCAGCTCTGTGCACATGCACACTGGGAACAGGCTCCCCTTGTTCCTCTTTCTCGCTGCTGCCAGACTCCGGAGGCTCTGGAGTCAGCACCCCACTCCCAAGATGGTCCTGGCCCCATCTCTGCATCGGATGCAGGACCCTCATCTGAGTCCTCTCCAAACTCCCGGACTGGTCCCCGTTCTTCCCCACTGTCCGATTCCGCTGCCGTCTGCACTGGCTGCCGGCGATCCACATCAACACCCACAGCAATGATATTTCCAGTAACGCTATTCCTTGAGGACTCTACCTGCCTCGGAGTTTTGCCCGCTATGGGTCTATTTACCTGGAACCCTAAGACTTTCGTTGCTCTGCCTTCCTCATTCCCCTTCCCCATTTCCTTCCAGATGACAGGCAGGAGGCCGCATTGAATCTGTCCACCAATGGCATTAGCAGCATCAACATGTCGATAGAAATCAACGGCGTTGTCTACACAGGTAAAGTGTGAGTCTTTGGGTGCAAACGCAGGCTGCAAATCCAGAGGTCACAAAGCACCAGCTTTCGCTGCCGCCTGGTGGGGTTTTCTGATCCTGGGGACAGGATACCGGGAGAAGTAGTATCTGAGGAGTAGCTAGGTTTGGAAGAGGAGAGAGATGGCTTGTGGGGCGAGCCGGTTCCAGGGTCAACCCATTTTTCTGGCTTATAGCACAAAGCAGAGTTAGTTTCCCAGCCTCCAGAATTTTTAGGACGAGTGGCCGGCTGGGGAAATCTGGGAGTTGAAGTCCAGATGCCTCGAAGATTGCAAGCTGGGAATCTCGGGATATCTTATGTGTGTGTGTTTAATTAAGAATTAACTAATAAAACCTCGGAGGAAGACTAGAGGAGAATAATTATAAACAAGCCAGAGGAAAATATAAATGTGATGATTGAATAGCAGATAAAAGAGAAAGGAAATATGATTGAATAATGATTAAAGAGAAACAATGTGGAATTTGGTAAAGGGAATTTACGTGTTTATATGGAAATGGGATAAATTATAAGTACGTGATATAAAACAATATGTTACCTGCCTTGTAAAGATCTACAATGGAAAGAGGTTTTATGTTTTTAAGGTTTAATGATGTTTTGTTTTGTTTGTTTGTAAAATCAATAAAACTTGTTTAAAAAAAATAAATAAGAGCCAGGTTAGTGTAGATGATAAAAGGCCCTTCGGTTAAACTCTTCAGCTTAGAAACTGCGGCTTCTAGTCTTGCTTTAGGCACAAAGCCAGACAGGTGATCTTCGGCCAGCCACTTTCGCTCTACCCTAGGAAAGAGGCAAGGGCGCAAATCACTTCTGGGCAACATTGGCAAGAAAGGTACAGGGATTTCGGCCAGCCAGTCTTTGAGAATTAAATGGTGCCAAGGAAGGGTAACATTTGTAGCTCAGGGTCGAAATAAAAGAGTCCACAGTCCTCTCTTGAGCTTGGTTGTTTTCTTGCAGACATTTCTTTGCCCAACTAGGTAACATCATCAGTGCTGGAAGGGAGAGGAGGAAGGGGAGGGGAGGAGGAGAACTGTGGGGTCCTTGGTGCTCTCGGAGCTTGGTTGTTTGAAGATGGTTCATAACCTAACAAGGTAACATCGGTGCTAGAAGGGAGGAGGGTTTAGAGGGAGGAGGAGGAAGGAAGGAAGGAAGGAAGGAAAGGAAGGAAGGAAGGAAGGAAGGAAGGAAGGAAGGAAGGAAGGAAGGAAG